GAAGCAATGGAACATTTTTCTGAGTAATAATTTTTAAACTGATTGAGAATATTCTTTAGAGTCAAGAAGTATGAATTTTGCCTGGAATTTAATTTTGTCAGGGAAAAACAAAATTAAATTTTTGTTGGCAACAAAATGTAGTTTTAAATACCTGGAAAACCTGGAAAAGTCAGAAAATTTAAAAGGAGCAAAAGCGTGTCAACCCTGTATTTGCTTGAAATAGGTACTTAAATTATTGGTTCAAATACAATTTATTTGACTTAAATGAAAATTATTTGATTTAAGTAAAATATTTATTTGACTTAAATAAAAGTTATTTGATTCAGGAAAATATTTCTTATTTTCTTTGATGAAAATAAAAATTATAATCGCGCCATAACTGTCACTTTTACTCTAAATAAAAATTTTTTAATTCAGAAAAATATTTATTTTATTAAAATAAAAATTATTTGTTCGAAGTAAAAATATATTTGATTTAAGTAAAAATTATTTGATTCAAGTAAATGTTTATTTGATAGTAGACAATTAATCAGTTTTTTGAATAAAATAAATTTTTCCACTGTATTATTATTTTTTATTTTTATTATAATTTTACGTATAAAATAAATAAAAAATTTTTGTTATGAGATTCATAAATAGGATATTAGAATTGTTTGACAAAAGTCATAAAGATAAAACAAGGATTATACCTGCGGTCAACAGTGGGATAATAATTATTGACCCAATAAAATGAAGGTTAAATTTTTAATTGAAAACTCTGTAGCAGAAGGGATTTTCTTGAATTGTTCGAGTGTCTTATATAGTTTTAACATTGCTTTTGCGGAGGAAGTTTGGAAATTCTCGATTTCTGAAGAGATCAAAACTGAAGAGGGGTATTAACTTTAACGACTAATCGAAGTCAGTCGACTCTTTCCAACAGCCTAGAAGGATAATAAAAGCCACACCGATTACGACGAGATAGAAGTAATGTGAGGAAACTGATTAAATTTCTAATTATATCTGAAGAACATCGGAAAATAAGAATTAAAATTGCTTCACGAATTAAAAAAGTTGTTATAAAAAAAGTGAATTTAATTGAAATTTTAATTAAATTCACTTTTTTTGTGTCAAGTTTTTTCTTTTCTTTACATAACTTATAATATTCTTTTTGTATATTATAGTCAGGGTTTTGTACATGTAAGCGATAGTATAAATAACACAATGCACTGGGGGAATATTTTTTCTTTTTTGTATTATAACAATATAAGAGTGAAATGGTGATGAAAAAATCAATAAGTAGATTTTGGATAAATGTGATAATCTTGTAAAAGGATTTGAAAAAGTAGTTTTTTTTCTTTTCTTTTTTTTTTGTTGAATCGTGTCTACTGTTGGTATATTATCGTGTGGGTATATATATAGAGGAAATTACCTCGTTGCACATTTGGCTGGAAGGTACGAGCAATGCAGCCAGTACTGCGGCCTAGCTAGTTGCATTATGTATGGTGGATGAGTACCAAACGTACAAGGATGCTGTGAATGTAGAGCATAGCGTCCATGCAACGACGGATATAGGAAATCGAAGAAAGAAAGTTGGCAGCTACATTGCATGTTATTTTGCCGTTGAGAAAAGTAGCAAAATATCTTGAGAGTAAAAATGAAATGTCAAACAGGGTAGATTATGGACCGTTTTTGTCTTCTTCTTCTTCTCCTTCTTACAAGATCGTTTATTTGACTCAAATAAATTTTTTTTTCGTTTAATATTTCTTTATTCTTATTTTATATATTTATTTATTTATTAAACTAAAGTAGCTGAATTAGTTTCTGTTTAAGTTTTTCTGTAAAATTCTAGAACAAAGTTTTTCTCTGGTATATATTAGTATCGTTTGTCTGACGATTAATATCCTCACCTACTTAGATTCAGTAATTTGTCTGACTATTCGGAGAGTGAACTACTTGGAATTAAATTTGTTTGAATTTCGATTAAAATTCTTCAATACGATTGATCTGTTTTGAATTCTAGTTTTGGCCTTTGTTCAATTATGATTTAGTGCTTTTGTCTGATTATTCACTGGGAAAACTACTTACAATCTGATTTGTATAATTTTAGATAAATCCTAAATTTTTTTGATTAGAATTCTTCAATATAATTGAATTTAAGGTCTTGGTTTTATTTAATTGTTTTGAAGTTTCGTCTGACCATTCGTAGGATAAACTACTTAAGTCTACTTAAAGTAAAATTCAATTTAAATCACGTCTGACTGCTTATTTACCATGACTACTTAAAAGAATATAAAGATCGTCTTGTACTCTACATTTGAATTAGTTAATAATAATTAATTATTCGTAAATTTTGGTTGAAATTAGGAAAAACAAATGGTTTAGAGTACTCTCTGAATCTGAATTAGTTAGAAATTGAATTAAATGAACATGTTTAATTATTAGTAAAATTGTGGCTGACTTTTTGCTTCAGCAATTAGCAAAAAATAACTAATTAATAGTAACAGGGCACGAACTTGGTCCGTAAATACCGTTAATGTCTGTAAATTTGCTTGAAGTCCGTAAAGTCCGTAATTTGAATGAAAGAGGACGAATAGTTCGTAAATTGTACGATTTAATTTGAAAAATTGACAAATGATTGCAAAAATTCAATTATTTTCAAAAGTAATAAAAATCCATCGCAAAAATTCAATTATGTTCAAAAATTTTTAAAAAATCTAGTCAAAATTTCAATTATCTTTAGAAATAATTAAATTCTTATTCAAAATTCAATTATTTTCAAAAATTTTAATAACATTCTTGGCAAAATTTCAATTATTTTCAAAAATTTTCCTTAATTCAATGATTTTCAATATCTACTATTTTAATAAAATTTTCTAAAAGAATTCAATTGTATAAAAAAATGTTTTAAAAAATCTACGCAAACATTTTATTATTAACATAATTAAAATATTAAAAATCTCACAGGAATTCGATTATTTACAAATTTTTTATAAATTTCTTGGCAATCAATTATTTAATAAAATGTTTTTTTGTATTTAAATAATTGAATTCTAGTAGTTAGTAAAATTTTCTAATAAAAATTGATTTAAAAATGGATAGTTAAAATTTTAGTTTATAATTGAATATTAAAAACATTATATTAGAGCGTGAATTTTTAGAAATAATTGAATTTTGAAAATGTTTCAAATTAAAATTTTTAATAATGAGAATTTTTCATATTTTTAACTAACAATTCTGTGAAATTAATTTTTTTAAGAAAGTTTAATTGAGGTATTTTTTAATATTCTTAGAAGTTTTTTATTATTATTAGTTTATTTACGAATAATTGAAATTTTGTGAAATTGAATTGTAAACAAATAAATTTTAAAATTCTCAAGGAACTTTTTAAAAAATTATTAAAAATAATGGATTTATAGAAGAATTTTAGTTAAAACGATGAAAAAAATTTAATTTTGGAAAAATTACAAATTATTGCATAAATTCAATTATTTTCAAGAGTACCTAATAATATTCTTCACAAAACTTTGATTTTGTTTTAACAATATTTAATATTGTTAAAACAAAATCAAATTTTTCTTATAGGGATTCAATTATTTTCACAAATAATAAAACTCATCGCAGAATTTCAATTATTTTTAATACAATTTTATTCGAATTCCACGAAAAATGTAATTATTCTTAAAAATTCTATTAAAATTTGTCGAAAGAACTCAATTATTTAAAAATTTGTTCCAAAAATTCTTTATGAGAATTCAATGTTAAGAAACATTTAATTATTCCATTAATTATTTTTTTTATGTATTTAAATAATTGAATTCTATTAGAATTTTCTAATAAAAATTGACTTAAAAATGAATTTCAGTTAAAATTTTAGTTAATAATTGAATATTAAAAGCAATATAACGTGAATTTTTAGAAATAATTGAATTTGGAAATTAATTTCTTTGAAAAAGTTTAATTGGATTTTTTTTTATTTGCATTTTTTATTTTTTAATATATATTTAATTGAAGAATTAACGAATAATATTGAATTTTCGTAAAGTTGAATATTGCAAACAAATGGATTTGAAAATTGTTAAAGAACTTTTTCGAAAATAATTAAAAATAATTTATTTAAAGAAGAATCTTAGTTACAAATTTTAGAAAACAATAATTGAATTAAATTATTTTAGTTAAATTATTTAAATTATTTTAGTTAAAATTCGTTACTGTTTAAATTATTCTGCAAAATTCTAGAACAAAGTTTTACCCTGCTATATATTAGTATCGTTTGTCTGACGATTAATAGCCTCACCTACTTAGATTCAGTGCTTTGTCTGACTATTCGGAGAGTGAACTACTTGGAATCGAATTTGTTTGAATTTCGATTAAAATTCTTCAGTACGATTGATCTGTTTTGAATTTTAGTTTTGGCTTTTGTTCAATTATGATTTAGTGCTTTTGTCTGACTATTCACTGGGAAAACTACTTACAATCTGATTTGTATAATTTTTAATTAAATCACAAATTCTTTCGATTAGAATTCTTCAATACAATTTGATAATTGTGAATTAAAGGTCATCTTGGTCTTATTTAGTTGTTTTTGAGTTTTGTCTGAGCATTCGTAGGATAAACTACTTAAGTCTGCTTAAAGTAAAATTCAATCTTAGTCGTCTGACTGCTTATTTACCTTGACTACTTAAAATAATATATAGATCATATTGTTCTCTAGATTTGAATTAGTTAGCAATAATTAATTATTAGTAAATCTTTGTTGATATTTTGCTATTGAAATTAGTGAGAATAATGGTTTAGAGTATTCTCTAAATCTGAATTAGTTAGAAATTGAATAGAACATTTTAAATTATTAGTAAAATCGGGATGACTTTTTGCTTCATCAATTAGTGAAAAATAACTAATTATTCAATTTTTACTGATTTAAATTTAGAAAGTTTATTTAGAGAGTAAAAAAATTCTTTTTTGGAAGAATTTAAAAAATAGAAGAAATATAGAAGTTTAGTGAGTTTTTTAAAAATGTTTACCTGTCCGCCAACCATTCCTTGTCTGAGTCTGAGGAGATCAGTCTGACTCCAGGCACTTTTGCTCCATGGTGCCACCTGTCGTAGGTCCTTATCAAAATCGAAATTCGCGAGTTGATTGTGTAGGAAATTCCTGATATTCCAAGGTAGGTCATTATGGCCATCGATTAATGGAACTTCGGACAACACCTGTCTAACTGTTTCCAGACGTTCTCTTGTTGACGTTAGGGATGCAATTTCTCCGTCTGCCGGTCGTGGACCAACTTTGCCTATCCAGCTTCCAAGTGTTAGAGTTATCAAGGTCGCTGTCCACACTCTGTTGTGCCCACCACCCTGTCGAATAATTAAATTATCCAAAATTAGTCTTTTAATTTTTATTATTTTTGTTGTTAATTATCAGTCACTAATTCAAATTAGAAAGCATTTTTACTAATTAAAATTTAGAGTTTAATATTCAATTATTATCTAAAATCTTAACTGAAATTCATATTTAAATCAATTTTTATTAGAAAATTCTACGAGAAGTCAATTATTTAAATACAAAAATAAATAATTTATTGAATAATTGAATGTTTCTTAAAATTGAACTCTCATAAAGAATTTTATCAACAAATTTTTAAATAATTAAAATTCTTTTGACGAATTTTAATAAAATTTTTAAGAATAATTTCCATTTTCGAGAAATTAGATTAAAATTGCATTAAAAATAATTGAATCTCTGTAAAAAAATTTGATTGAATTGAGAAAACTTTTTGAAAATAATTGAAATTAAAGTCATAAAATAATCAAGGCAATAATAATAATAAAAATAATCAAGGGATATTTTTATTATTATTATTTTTTTACAATATGATTAGGAGTTTTCTGCTCTTTTTACTTTTCCTTTGAAATTATTATTATTATTATTATTATTTTAAAAAAAATATTATATAAATCACTTGGATCATTTGTACTTTTGGATTTGCTAAAAGCATGAGTATTAGTAAATCACGGACATTTCCTGTCGGTCATGGATTAAAGAACTACTTTTACACTCGAAGAGTCGTGGGGACTTTATGTGGGTAGAATTATGGCACCTGCGACTCACAACTCGGGGAAACTCTCTCGGCACCTTTGATCTATGAGAAACGGATAAGGGACTATTTTGAGACCTGAAATGTTTGAGTATGGCTTACACGAGGGAACTCTAGGCTATGCCACCACCGCAGACACACTTTACGTAATTTACACTATCAAACTGCATCAACTTTATAAAATTATAAAGAGAAAATTAATTCCAGAGAAATTTTATCACGTATATGTAAAATTTTTGAAAATTAATCGCTCAATATTTACTTTTTACAATTAATTATATTAAGCTAATGAATTCTTAACTAAATATTTAATTTTCAATTAATTAGGTATTTGATATAATTATTTAAAATTTGAAAAGAATAATTTTGAATAATTTTGAAAAGAAGTAATTGAAAGTTTCACTAAATAGATTTTTTTTACTTAATACAGGTCTCGAACTAGGTCCGTAAATCCCGTAAAAGTCAGTTTTTTTTTTAAAAAAAGGTCCGTAAAGTCCGTAATTTGATTGAGAAAATACGTAATTGCAGAAATTCAATTACCTTTTCAAAAGTAATAAAATTTCTTTAAAAATTCAATTATGTACAAAAATTTTTAAAAACTCTCGTCAAAATTTCAATTATCTTTAGAAAAAATTAAATTCTTCAAAATTCAATTATTTTCAAAAATTTAAATAAAATTCTTGGCAAAATTTCAACTATTTTCAAAAATGTTCCACAATTCAATGATTATTAATATCTACTATTTTAATAAAATTCAATTTAATAATTCATTTATTTAAAAAAATTTTAATATTTTACGCAAACATTTAATTATTTTCATAAAATAATAAAAATTTCACAGAAATTTCAATTATTTAGAAATCTTTTTTTATAAATTTCTTCGCAGTCATTCAATTATTTTCATAAATAATAAAATTTTTACAGGGATTCTATTATTTTCGTAAATAATCAAATTCTTTTTAGGAATCCATATATTTTCATAAATAATAAAACTGATTGCAGAATTTCAATTATTTTTAATACAATTTTAATCAAATTCCTCGAAAAATGTAATTATACCTACTTACAAATTTTATTAAAATTCGTTGAAATAAGAATTCAATTATATTTAAAAATTTGTTGATAAAATACTTTATGAGAATTCAATTTTAAGAAACAATCATCTATTCAATAAAATGTTTTTTTGTATTTACATAATTGAATTCTAGTAGTTAGTAGAATTTTCTAATAAAAATTGATTTAAAAATGGATAGTTAAAATTTTAGTTTACAATTGAATATTAAAAACATTATATTAGAGCGTCAATTTTTAGAAATAATTGAATTTTGAAAATGTTTCAAATTAAAATTTTTAAAAATCAGAATTTTTAATATTTTTAACTAACAATTCTGTGGAATTAATTTTTTTTAAAAAGTTTAATTGCGGATTTTTTTTGGAAATTATTTGAAGTTTTTATTTTCTAATAAATTTCATTGAAGAATGTCCGAAAAATTGAATTGTAAACAAATGAATTTGAAAATACTCAAAGAACTTTTTGAAAAATTATTAAAAATAATGCATTTATAGAAGAATTTTAGTTAAAAACACGAAACAAAAATTGTATTTTTGAAAAGTTACAAATTATTGCAGAAATTCAATTATTTTCAAAACTTTCAATAAAATTCTTGACAAAATTTCAATTATTTTCGTAAATAATAAAATTCTTTTTAGGAATTCAATTATTTTCATAAATATTAAAACTCATTGCATAATTTCAATTATTTTTAATACAATTTTAATCAAATTGTTTTTTGTATTTAAATAATTAAATTCTAGTAGAATTTTCGAATAAAAATTTATTTCAAAATGAATTTCAGTTAAAATTTTAGATAATAACTGAATATTAAAAACAATATACCGTGAATTTTTAGAAATAATTGAATTTCGAAATTAATTTTTTTGAAAAAGTTTAATTGGATTTTTTTTTATTTGCATTTTTTATTTTTTAATATATATTTAATTGAAGAATTAACGAATAATATTGAAATTTCGTAAAAATGGAATATTGTAAACAAATTTAGTTCATTCATTCGAGCCCGATGAATAGAATGAATTGGCTAAAATTTGAAAAATTTTTTTTTCATTCCAATGCAAAACTAGAATGTTTTTAAAGGAAATGTTTTTTAAACAGAATTTTTGTTTTAACAAATTTTTTTATTAAAAGTTGTACGTAAAAATTTTTTGCGCTTACAATTTATAAATTAAAAAATTCTAGATTGGAATTTTTTTAAAATGAAAATTTTATTGCTACGTAAAAATGCATGAACGTAAAAATACCTGTCAAATGAAGAATAGAATAGTAATAAAGTTATTATATAAAGTTTAATAAAAATTCTATAAAGAGGGTATTTATTAAAAAATTCCTTTTATTTGCGAAAAAAAAGTATATTCAAATTGAAAAAAGTATCATTGAATGTACACTGAGAAAACATTAGGATACTTAATTTTTCAAATAATAAAATAATTTCAAGTGGTTTTGTTTAATTTAAATTAGTTTGTAAGCTATGAAATATCTACTGTTTTGATTAAAAAATTAATGTTTGTTTGAATAATTATATTTAATTCAAACATATTTTCTGATTTGATTTAAACAAAAGATGTGTTTAATTCAAACTTAAAAGTTTATTTAATTTAAAATCAACCACCATGTTTGAATTAACTTTATTATTTCTTTTAATGAACTAAAAAATATGTTTCAATTAAACTTAAATATTGTTTGATTGTATAGCAAAGATATTTTAAGTTTGATTTTTAATAAAATATGTTTGAAGCAAATAAATCGTTTTCTCAGTGTAAAAATTCGATGAAAGGGTAGGCAATATAATTATTGCAAAGTGTTGAAAATTTTGCCTTTATTTATTAAAGGAAAGTGTTTGAATGGGAGAATTTTAAACGTTTTTCCGACATGTAATGGAATTGTTGAGTAAAATAGTAATTGGAATTTTTTTCTAGAGATGAATTATTATTTGTTTTTGTATAAATGTCTATAGAAGAGGGTTGCGCTTCCTTTTTTTCTCATCGTCAATGGAAAATGTGGGTATATATATGAGTTTAATATTTTGATGACAGTTTCATTTGAAAGGATTCACGTTGACAAAATATGTACATGTACAATTGTGCATATGAAGAGGTTGTTCAGGATGTTGTTGAATAATACAGAAACATATAACTAGGCAGGTTATCGTCGTATTTGTATGTATGTGTATATGTCGTTGCAGGGATTACGACTGGGGAGAGATTAAACCTCGGACCTCCGTCAACCCTCTTTCTCGGGTTGTCTCTTTCTATTTCATTCGTCTCATCGTACTGTGTAGCTCTTCTCACACTGAAAAGTATAACTCTCGCTCTCTTTCTCTCTTTCTCTCTCTCTACTCATGGTTTGCTGCAAAATGCGAGAGGAGTGAGAAAGAGAGAGAAAGAGGGAGTTACACTTCTCAGTCCATATTCGTGAAGTATCCGGCAGAGCTTTGAAGCTTTTCCGGAATAATTCACTCGGGACTCTGTGACTTGCAAATATTGCCAGCCTCGTCTCGACTACCTCCGCTTCGGCTTTGCGAATAGTTTATGATGTTTACTTCTGGCGCATGATATAGCCCTACGGTTACTAACTCTCTGCCTACAACGCAAAATTTCAACTCTAAGGCGACACTTGAATGTAAGTGCGCTGAAAAATAAAAAAATGTTGCTACATGCTGCTACTTTCGAATTCTTATTGAGAATCACTGATGATTCATTCAAATAGGCGGTCACTCGACTATTATATCAAATAATTAGTTTTCGTAAATAGTTACATAGGACTAAAGGTATCTTTTACGTGACAATCGGATTGTTACTACACAGAACTTGACAAATTAATTTTATTGTTCTAACAATGTAGATTTTATGGAGACAATAAATCAGACTTCGTATTCGATAATTAATTTTTAAAAAGTGGCTATCGAATAATTAAACTTGACGACCAAAAAAACTGGTTTTAGACACTTCACAAAACTGACAAAAATTCCATTCTATATTTTATTTTCTTGACTTTTTCCTAATTTTCATCAAAAATATTTACTTCTTTCTTATTCTCTGCTAATAAATTGAATTTTATTATTCATGAAAGAATTTAAATATTTATAAAAATAATTTTATTCTTGAGAAGAATTTTATAAAATTTTTTAAATAATTTAATTTTGCAAAGAATTTTATTATAGTACGTAAAAATAATTCAGGGTGGCT